CCCCCACTGCCCGTCGTAGCTACTGTTCCCAGGCCTCCACCCTACCACAATGGTTCCACCGAGCCTCGGAGAAAGTGAACTCTTTCTTCAGGTCCCGCAGAGTTCACTTTAAGCGGACTCCCCAGTAGTTCTAGATCCCAGACAACAGGAGTAGCAGAAGTCCATCAGTCATCACTGCCTTTGTCACCCTGTGCCAGGCTAGAGGCCACGAACAAACACTTTCCACCTCTGTCTCAGTAGGGTTTTACCACGGCACTCGCAACTGCATTAGGTCATATGAGCGCTATGGGGTGGATGTCAACAGAGAAGTCCAAACAGGGAATCAGACTTACTCTGCTCACCTCTCTAGCTTCAACAGCACAAAGTCTGCTGCGACTATCAAGGCACCCCGGAAATAGTAGGTCACAAGAGTGTGACAAACATACAAAAGAAGTAGAGGAAAATTGACGATAGTAAGGATAAGGAAAGAAAAAGCAGCAGTTCCCCCTATGTTGTTCCGGCACAGTTATGAGCATGACATTGATGAATCAGCCCATTTACAATTCTACGGTAGGCCTACATAAGAACATGTTAATATCCCCCTTTTAGGAATGGCCTAAAGACAACTTCAGTCAGTAGCACTGTCCAGGTGGGGGCGTTTTTCCATCATTCTCTATCCTGGGCTAGCCTCTGGATGTCACTCCATGTCTTCCCACTCTTCCGTACATCGACTTCCGTGACTCTTCTCCAAGCTCCACGTGGTCGTCCCCTTGATGTAGCGGATGTTGAAGAAACAAAAAAATGGACTCTTCATGAAGAAACGCCTCATTGTCCCATTACAAATAAATTACATGGCACCCAAGACTTGAGTGACGCAGCGTGCAGCTCAGAGCGTGTACAGAGCTCAGAGCGTGTACACAGTGAATGAGACATGGTCATCAAGGACAGAAGAGTGATGACAACGAGTACACACCAGTTCCCACCGACAAAGTCCAGTAATAAAACAGTCAACAAAGATCAAACACATTCAGAACACATAAAGTGCAGACATAAGCAAAACATCAACAAGAGCTAAGATCACAATTAAGAATAAATGAGCATATGGCCTGACAATACCATTCCTTCCTCCCCCCCCCCCCTCTTTCACCCTGCCAAAAGAAAAAAGAGGGGGGAGAAAAAAGAAATATTAAAATACCAACAAACTTTACATGGCTGCAGAGCAGCCTTGAGCATCGAAAAACCATCTGACAGAAATCGCATTTGGTTCATTCAGTGTGTATGTGGTTCATTCAGTGTGTATTTGGTTCATTCCGTGTGTATTTGGTTCATTCTGCGTGTATTTGGTTCATTCTGCGTGTATTTGGTTCATTCAGTGTGTACTTGGTTCATTCTGCGTGTATTTGGTTCATTCTGTGTGTATTTGGTTCATTCTGCGTGTATTTGGTTCATTCAGGGTGTATTTGGTTCATTCTGCGTGTATTTGGTTCATTCTGCGTGTATTTGGTTCATTCTGCGTGTATTTGGTTCATTCTGCGTGTATTTGGTTCATTCTGTGTGTATTTGGTTCATTCTGCGTGTATTTTGTTCATTCTGCGTGTATTTTGTTCATTCTGCGTGTATTTGGTTCATTCTGCGTGTATTTTGTTCATTCAGTGTGTATTTGGTTCATTCTGCGTGTATTTGGTTCATTCAGTGTGTATTTGGTTCATTCTGTGTGTATTTGGTTCATTCTGTGTGTATTTGGTTCATTCTGCGTGTATTTGGTTCATTCAGTGTGTATTTGGTTCATTCTGCGTGTATTTGGTTCATTCTGCATGTATGTGGCTGCGGACGGGTTGTGACCAGTCTATGGCAGGTAGACGGCACGCCTGTTTTCAACCACAGAGAAACAACTTTCTTTTTGCTGATGTCAGAACAATTTCATCTGCACTCACAACATGCCTTGAGAATCTAAATGTGAGTGTGTGCATCTGCTAGTGTATCTGTTCCACTACGTGAATGTCTGTTCCACTACGTGAATCACTACGTGAATCACTACGTGAATCACTACGTGAATGTCTGTTCCACTACGTGAATGTCTGTTCCACTACGTGAATGTCTGTTCCACTACGTGAATGTCTGGTGGAAGTCTGTTCCACAGTGTGAATGTCTGTTCCACAGTGTGAATGTCTGTTTCTTCACTTGTATCCACGTGTCACTTGCTTAGTTTCAAACAACTAGTGAGTTCGGTCCCTCCCTTTGCCCGATCCTCAAAGCAAACATAACGAGCCCTCTGTCAGTGACGGAAGATCTCAGCCTCTCCTGTCTTACAGACAAAGCTAGAAGGACTCCTTCGTATCACTTGTGAACACATTCGGAACAGAAAGCTCCCAACGCTCGCCCATGACCTACATTTTATTTACAACTTGGACAGAAAAACAGGGCATTTAGGCGAGTTTCTCTTCTGAGACCTCATTTACAACTGGGACAGAAGAATTGGGCATTTTCCTTTTCTAACACCTCATTTACAACTGGGACAGAAGAATTGGGCATTCAGGCGTTGACCTCATTTACAACTGGGACAGAAGAATTGGGCATTCAGGCGTTGACCTCATTTACAACTGGGACAGGAGAATTGGGCATTCAGGCGTTGACCTCATTTACAACTGGGACAGGAGAATTGGGCATTCAGGCGTTGACCTCATTTACAACTGGGACAGAAGAATTGGGCGTTCTCCTCCTCCAGGACCTCCGGCGGACAGTCGATGCACTCCACGTGGTACCACTTCAAACACTTGTCGCACAGGACCTGCGGGGCACACACAACATAGGTCAAGGTCATGGTGTTTGCTTGACCGAGATAAGAGAAGTACATTAAATGACACTAGAACTACAACAGCCATTTGACATCTTTCAGTTTGAACCCCCCCCCCCAAAAAACCCAACAAACAAACAAACAACTACTGCAAACCTCGTAAGAGTTCAAGTAAAAGTTGAACAAACTGAAAGTGCCTTACAGAGAAGGAAACTTCACTCTGAAAGGTAAAATTTAAATGCTAAATGAACTATAAAAACCATACCTTGTATAAAATCTCTCAAAGAGAAAATTTTAAATTTAAATGAACTGCAAACGCCTAAAAGTAATACAGGCCATGCCGGCTTTAAGCACAGTCATCGGGAGAAAGCTTAAGCGTGTTTAAAGCCGAAGCGTGCTTAAGTGCGAAGTAGACATAATCCAGAGATTTTCAGGTAGAAAATTTCCCGTGCTATTTCCCTTTGTTTGTAAGTAGGCCTTTAGCGGTCCCGCAAAAGTGTGCACTGGTATTTTTACCTGCCATGGTAGTTTTTATTTGTTTGTTTGTTTGTTTTTGTTTTGTGGTCGAATGGGAAATGAAAACTTAATTTAGACGGCCTGTCACGATACAGCACACTAGGTCTACACACTGCCTGTGCATACCTCTGCCCGCTGTGCCACTCATACCACCGCCTTCATCTCACCTCGCACGTGATACACAATCAGGATTAATGGATAGCGAGGGTCAAAGGTGAAATCGCAGCCAGCCGCCCTTTCTCGTCTCCCAGACTCTCTTTGTATATTTTTTTGGTCGTGTGTAGCTTTGCCCTAGGCCTAAGCTAGATCCTATGTCCGCGCGCGCGGCTGTTCGAACTTCGATGGGTCATCATGAAAGTATTGACTGTCTTGTAAATGAAGCGTGCTTGAAGCCGAAGTTACCGTGCTTAAGGGCGTGTAATTTATATACAAAAAAATTCAGTAAGAGCCATTTAGCGTGCTTGTGTCCGAAACGTACTTTAAGCCGGCGTGCTTCTAGCCGGCACGGACTGTACCTATTTCGGAAAGATAAAACTTGGAAGTCATGCAAACAGCAGCGAAAACCCCTTAAAGATAATGTAAGTGAAAAAAAAAAGCGGAAAGTTGAAAAAAAGGTTGAAAAGTTGGAGGAAAAAAAAGGTTGAAAGTTGAAATAAAAAAGGTTGAAAAGTTATTTTTAAAAAGGATGAAAAGTAGAAAAAAGGTTGAAAAAAAAGCAGAAAGTTGAAAAAAAGGTTGAAAGTTGGAGAAAAAAAAAGGTTGACAGATGAGAAAAAAAGGTTGAAAATTGAAGGGAAAAAAAGGTTGAAAATTGAACAAACAACATCAGTGACTCACCCACTGCACCTCGTCGCCCTCCGGGTTGAGACAGTCTGCGGCCTGACACGACTCGTCGCAGTACTGCACCCCGTCCTCCCCCTCGTCCTCTTCCTCCACGTCCCCCTCGCTGCTGTCCTCCATCATCGCTCGCCTCTTCTTCTCTTTCTTTGACGGCGCGGCTGGAGAAGTTTTAGTTTTAATAAGAGTTTTACGGCACTTGCAACACAATCAGGTCATATTATAAGTGCCGAAAATTAGAGGAGTTACAAGAGAGTAACACACACAAAATAAGAAGGAAAGGAGACAGAGACGATAGATTTTTTATAGGAAAGAAGGAGCAAACCACACTAAAGCACCTGCCAACCACCCACGGGCTAGAGAAGCGGAGTACCAAGAGTTGGAGGAAAGAGAACAGTGGAGTAGATTGGAAGGCCACCCGTTGTCAACGAGAACAGTGGAGTAGATTGGAATCTGTTTGAGACAGGCCACCCGTTGTCAACGAGAACAGTGGAGTAGATTGGAATCTGTTTGAGACAGGCCACCCGTTGTCAACGAGAACAGTGGAGTAGATTGGAATCTGTTTGAGACAGGCCACCCGTTGTCAACGAGAACAGTGGAGTAGATTGGAATCTGTTTGAGACAGGCCACCCGTTGTCAACGAGAACAGTGGAGTAGATTGGAATCTGTTTGAGACAGGCCACCCGCTGTCAACGAGAACAGTGGTGTAGATAGGAATCTGTTTGAGACAGGCCACCCGTTGTCAACGAGAACAGTGGAGTAGATTGGAATCTGTTTGAGACAGGCCACCCGTTGTCAACGAGAACAGTGGTGTAGATAGGAATCTGTCTGAGACAGGCCACCCGTTGTCAACGAGAACAGTGGAGTAGATTGGAATCTGTCTGAGACAGGCCACCCGCTGTCAACGAGAACAGTGGTGTAGATAGGAATCTGTCTGAGACAGGCCACCCGTTGTCAACGAGAACAGTGGAGTAGATTGGAATCTGTCTGAGACAGGCCACCCGCTGTCAACGAGAACAGTGGAGTAGATTGGAATCTGTTTGAGACAGGCCACCCGCTGTCAACGAGAACAGTGGTGTAGATAGGAATCTGTCTGAGACAGGCCACCCGTTGTCAACGAGAACAGTGGCCACCGTCTCACACAGTGTCATTTTAATGTAAAAAAATATGCTTTTAATTTTAGTAGAGGTTTTACGGCGCTCGCAACTGCATACGGACATATGAGCGCCAGAAGATTAGAGGTGTTACAAGAGAGTAACAAACATAAAAAAGAAGAAGGGGAGATAAAGACGACAGATGTTTAATAGGAAAGAAGAGAAGCAAACCACACCAGAGCACCCGCCAGCCACCCATAAGGGAGAAAATGGGAAGTGGCTTGTTGTTCAGGAGATTGTGGTAGTGAGAGCAGGCTGGACTAGTTTTGAACCCTGGTCTTCAGCAACAAAGGCCAGCATCCTGGTATTTCTCATACAACACCACATCCAGGATGTCAACGACATGATGTTCAAAAACCAAAGAGTGTCCCC